AACCCACCCTAACCCGCACATCCCTGGGCACTATGGGTAATTTCCCACGGCTAACCCACCCTAACCCACACTTCCCTGGGCACTTTGGCGAAATTCCAGAAACGTCAGCTTTCCTGCTCCTCTGATGCTGCCTGGCCTGCTGTGTTTCTCCAGCTCCACACTGTGTTATCTCTGACTCTAGCATCGGCAGTTCTTACTATCTCTGAGTGAACCAGGATGGGTTTTTGCAGTCACTGACAGTGATTACACAGACGTTTTTAGACTTAGCTTTCAGTCGTGTAATTCCTTATCTCACACAGAGAACTCATCCTTTTTTGTTGTCACGTGAACATTTTCTCACAGACAACGTTCACGATCTCCGCTTTATGACATGGTGAGCTACAAATCCCGACGTAGACTCCTGCGATCACGGTTGAGGGAATGCTGTCCTTATTCCACCTGCCAAACCCCGTCTCTGAGGACAGCTCCAGCTCACAACATGAGCGTAGGAGGTAGAGGGGTGCTCTTACAGAGATTTAGCAAATCATGAGGGGCGTAGCTGATGTGAACGGCAGGTGTCTTTTCCCTAGGGGACATATTTTTAAGGTGAGAGGAGAAAGATTTTCAAAAGGACAAGAGGGACAAATTTTTTTACACTGAGAGTGGTTCGTGTGTGGAATGAACATCCTGATGAAGTGGTGGATGTGGGTACAGTTACAATGTTTAAAAGACATTTGGATAAGTACATAAATGGGAAAAGATTTGGAGGGATATGGGCCGAGCGCTGGCAGGTGGGACCAGTTTATTTTCGGATTAGGGTCAGTATGGACTGGTTGGACCGAAGGGTCTGTATCCGTGCTGTATGCCTGTACAACTCTATGAAAGTGGAAGTGATTACTGCCACAGTAACTTGCAGTCGCTGTGTGAACTGTAACGCGCCACCGCACTCTGTGAATGTGACAGAGCTTGTAAACACTCTGTGGTTATCCTTCCACCTGGGTCCATCTGATTGTTATGTTGTATTATTCCCCCTTTGCCTTCATCTGACCTAGGCCAGATTGCTTGACTAACTTTGACCATAAGCAGTGTATTTAATTCTGTCTGGATTGTTTTTTCACCGTAAGCCTGCCTGTGGAATATGCGTCAGTGCCTTAACCACACACAAATGTTCTCTGACTCATTCACCAAATCAAGAATTTCACAGAGTTAGGCATTTCTACGACTTGTTCCTAATTGCATTCCACTTGATTCCATTACCGCGCGTCAGTTCCTCGACATGTAACAAATCAATTTCGTGCTCTGGCATCAGAGTTCCAGGATCACGCCCCACATTTCAGTTTTGACGTTGGTCTGATCAAAACTGTGATGGAGGATGCTCAGTGCCTGGCCCCAGGTGGTGACCAGATGATCAAACACAGCTCTCTTAAAAAAATGTTCACAGGCCAGGACATAAATCCCTCCAAGAGAAAAATACCAACTTGCTGCTGTGGGCTACAGCTTCCTTTCTCCAGAACGCACACAAGGTCCAGACTGAAATGTTACATTAGAGTTAAGTTACACCCATTGCTAATTCGATCATATGACATTCCTGCTTCAATTCTCAATACATTTACATTCCATGAATCCCTATCACATACCACAGGAGAAACGTGAAGGTCGATTCCAACGCACCCACAAGCTTTTGCTCAAACAACACCAACATTTCCAAGTGCTCCCCCACGATTAAACATCGAGGACAAAGGAGAGAAATTTAAAAGTCAAACTCTGGCTGTTAAGGAGATAAGAGTTGGGTCCGTTGGGATTGTGTCCAATGGGAGTGAACGGGAGGGGGGTTTGGGTCTGTTGGGATTGTGTCCAATGGGAGTGAACGGGAAGGGGGTTTGGGTCCATTGGGATTGTGTCCAATGGGAGTGGATGGAAAGGCGGTTTGGGTCCATTGGGATTGTGTCCGATGGGAGTGAACGGGAAGGGGGTTTGGATCCATTGGGATTTTGTCCGATGGGAGTG